TTTATGTAGAGTATGAAGAGAGTTGGTCCTAGAACACTGCCTTGGGGAACACCACTATTGACAGGTACTGGATTTGATAGTACGCTCCCGATTTTGACCATTTGTTGTCTGTTTGACAGGAATGCTTCTATCCAGTTATTCAGTTGTCCAGAGATACCATAGGATTTTATTTTTAGGAGTAGTTTGTCGTGTACCACTGAATCAAAGGCTTTACAGAAGTCTATGTAGATTGCGTCTATTGCTTTGCCCTGGTCGGGTTGTGTCGTCCATATGTTTTTGCAGTGTAAGAGTTGCAGATTACAGGATAGTTTTTTTCTGAAACCAAATTGTTTATTGGAGAGTAGGTTATTTGTCTCTAAGTGAAGGATGATGGATTGGTTAATAATTGATTCCATGACTTTACAGGTGACGCAGCATAAGGAGATTGGCCTGTAATTTTCAACTAGGCTTGGGTCTCCCTTTTTGAAGATGGGGATGACTGTGGCTTGTGACCATAGGTTAGGCAAGTTCCTTCCACCTGCCCTCCCCATTAAACATTTTTTTAAAAAACCTCTAGGATTAATTTTGAGGGGGGTCTCTTCAGACGCCCACATTCTTGGCAGGTCTCCCAAGGTGGAGAGGTCGTTTGAAACAAAAGGAGTGGGGAGAAAAAAAAATGCGGATAGAAATTCCCAGTCGAGCAGAAACTCAAAAGGACGAGCTTGTGTCGGTGCGCTTTTTGTTTTGTCTTCCTGTCAAATCCCAAAGAAAAACGAAAAACATGTTTTGCAACGTTGCTCCTTCTTTTAGAGGGAGAAACAGAGGCAAATAACAATAAATCTTGTTCTATTTGCTGTGGGAATTCTCTGTGCCATCCATAAAGCCAGCCAAAGGATGATGCCTCTGGGACATTAATATGGAAGGAGGTTAAATCTGCTTTTAATTTTTTTACATATATATTAAAAAAAAGTTCAAAGGAGAAACTTTTTTCAGAGGAGAAAATTTTTTTTCCTCGGAGTGGCTCCTTGGAGATATTTTGTTCCGGTAAACTTTATCTTACGTTGTTGCCCTTTAATAAGAATGGATCGATACCTCTTAACTTCTAATGGCCAAGAAGCTACCCTAAAAATTAGGGAGAGCGCCAAAAAAGATTTTTGGATGGATCACAAACAGAGCTGGGAACTTAGAGAGTGGGTGAAACGCAAAGGGAGCGCTTAAGAGGCTGAAGAATTATTTCAAGGCTAAAAATAAGTTTATTATAGCCAAGAAAGAGCCTTTATCGCCTAGAAATTATCTCAAAATTTCTTCCATCACAACTTTTCCCAGAAAGGAATATTTCCCAGTGCTTGCCACGACCCACTGTAGGGGTTTGAGTTTCATTAATAGGCATTTAATTACCCAACTAAGTAACATCAGTGTTAGAAGGGAAGGGTGTTTGTGGAGAGGAGGAGGAGGAGGAGGAGGAGGAGGAGGAGGAGGAGGAGGAGGAGGACTATAGGGTCCTTGATGCTCTCTGAGCTTGGTTGTTTTCTTGCAGACGTTTCATTACCCAACTACGTAACATCATCAGTGCTTAAAAAAGAGAGCGGGGTCTGTCAAAGCCTTACTTTCTTGTAGCACTGACAATGTTTTACCTAGTTTGGGTAATGCAAGAAAACAACCAAGATAAGAGAGCACTAAGGACCCCATAGTCATCGTCTTCTCTGTGAACTCCACTCCCTTGTAGCACTGATGATGTTACCTAGTTGGGTAATGAAACATCTGCAGAAAAACCCACCAAGTTCAGAGAGTGCCAAGGACCTCACGATATATCTTCGATTTCATTTCGTAAACGATAAGGAAAAGATTATTGCAGGAGACATGAATTTGCAGGTTTTTTTTTCTTTAAAGAAGAAGCCGGAAGATCAAACTTCTAAACAGTTTTTTTTGACAGTGAGAACAATCAACCCATGGAACAGAAGTTGCCTTTGGGAGTTGTGGGCGCTTCATCACTTGAGAATTTCAAGAAGAGATTGGACTGCCCCATTTGTCAGAAATGGTGCAGGGTCTCCTGCTTGGGCAGGGGGTTGGACTAGATGACCTACAAGGTCCCTTCCAACTCTGTTAATCCGAATAGGTTTTCAACTGAAGGAAGGCACATTATATGGTTTTTTGTCTTCTTCTCTCCTCCTCCCCCTCTTTCCATCCATGTCACCCCTTTCCCATTTAAATCAACCTTAAGTTTAAATTTAAATCAAATTAGTTCTACTAACTAACCTTCCAGGCCATCTGCTAGCTGTCCTGCTTGCTTGCAGGACTCAAGAGGGGTCTTTGGGTTTCTGTGGTACGCCTTATCTGACAGCATTTTTTCTCTTCCTCCCCGGCCCAATCCAAGGGGAACACAACGAAGATGAGTGGGGAACGTACTTCGAACACTGCCTGGGGAAACTGCAATCCCCCATCAATATTCAGAGGTCAAAAGTTAGATTTAATCCAGATCTGGAACCGCTGCAGCTCCAGGGTTATGGATACCGCCGTGACGCATTCAAGATGACCAACAATGGCCATTCAGGTGAATATTTAATTTGGTTTGTTTTCTTGGCTGACCCTTCCTTCCTTCCTTCTTCCCTTCCCTCCTTCCCATTCCTTCCTTCCTTCCTTCCTTTTTCTTCCCTTCCCTTTTCTTCTCCTCCCTCCATCCCTTCCTCCCTCCCTCCCTTCTTTCCAGACCTCCTTCTTTGCAGACTTCCTTCCTTCCTTCCTTCTTATTGGCCAAGTGTGATTGGACACACAAGAAATTTGTCTTGGTGCAAATGCTCTCAGTGTACATAGAATAGAATAAGAATAGAATAGAACAGAACAGAACAGAACAGAATAGAATAGAATAGAATAGAATAGAATAGAATAGAATAGAATTCTTTATTGGCCAAGTGTGATTGGACACACAAGAAATTTGTCTTGGTGCAAATGCTCTCAGTGTACATAGAATAGAATAAGAACAGAACAGAACAGAACAGAACAGAACAGAACAGAATAGAATAGAATAGAATTCTTTATTGGCCAAGTGCGATTGGACACACAAGGAATTTGTCTTTGGTGCCAATGCTCTCAGTGTACATAAAAGAAAAGATACATTCGTCAAGAGTCAAGAATCAACAGGTACAACCCTTAATAATAGTCATAGGGTACAATAAGCAATGGCCAGCCAAGCCGCAGGGTTTCTTTCTTTAAATACGCCTTCCAACCTTGCCATTTGCCTGTGCTTTCAAGAATCAGACACCGAAAGACAGCAATCAGGGGCAATAAAAGCTGAATAAGTAACAGTTGGTGGTCGCTTAAAGTTTCAGAGGCAACCCACACAGCCTTAGCTCTCCAAAGCTTGTGGGTTTAAGTCCATTTTACCAGCTAGATGAGAAGGTATCAGAGTGGCTGTGTGTAAAATTTCCAGATTAGGGTCATCGCAGAGACAACTTCAATAGGTGATGACCAGGGACTTCTTGGTGGTGATCCCTGTCCTATAGCAATGCCCCTTTCTCCCCCCCCCCCCACACCCAATTGCAAAATGCTAAGTCCAGCGCTGGTATGTTTTTAGACTTTGAATGACATCTTTTTTTGGTAAGCCAGTTTACAACCATTGCATTTAGTCCACGGCTTCCCACCATTTCGTTTAGTGACTGTTCAAAGCAGAGGTGGTATTCAGCCAGTTCTGACCAGTTCTGGAGAATGGGTAATGTGTCAACTCATAAAATATTTCTATGGTCTTTTTAGAGTTGCCAACAGAAAGGGAGGGGTAGAGCAGTGCAGCTGCTTGCAAACCGAAAGTGCATTCCATAAATGTTTTTAAAGATAGTAACTAGGTGAACCGAAGTTTCTGCAGGGCAAAATTCTAACTGGAGAGCCTGATTGATGACTCTGGGCTAGGGATGTGTCCCATTGGAGAATTTGAATTATGATACACCCAGGGGGGAGGGGGGAAAACCAGGGTCAAGGGTGACAATGAATTGTGTGTCTCAGAGTCGGCTACACCCAGGCAGTGCCGGACATGTTTACTCCCAATAAATCCTTTTGAAGTTTTGAAAGTTTGGCTCAGGACTCATGATTTAATTGGGGGTAACTGCCGGAATCCTGACAGGTAGCAGAAATGTTGAGTAATTTGGAGAACCGGCCAATACCGCCTCTGACAGGCCCCACCCCCTTCTCTTCTCTGCCTCCCATCGAGTCCCAGCTGATTGGCTGGGTCTTCTTTGGTTGCCCTGCACAGGAGAATGGAGCTGAAAAGCAGGTTAGTGGGGTGGGGAGGGAAGGGATTTTGCAATATCCTTCCCCTGTCACGCCCACCAATCCATGCCCACCAAGCTACACCCACCAAGCTACATCCACCAAGCCATGCCATGCCACTCCCACAGCGGCACCGGAAAAATGGTTACTTACGACCAGTTTCACACACCTGTGTCGAAATACAGGCAGTCTCCAACTTACAACGGTTCATTTAGTGACCGAAGTCGCAACAGCCCTGGAAAAAAAAAGTGACTTATGACCTTTTTCCACACTTACGACCTTTGTAGCGTCCCCAGGGGAGGTCATGTGATCAAAATTCAGACGTTTGGCAACTGGCTCATACTTACGACCGTCGCAGTGTCCTGGGGAGGATCATTGGATCCCTGGATGTGACTTTCTGACAAGCCAAATCAATGCGCAAGCCAGATTCATTTAACGACCAGGTGGCTAACTTAACCGCTTGCAGCGATTCAGTTAATGATGGTGGCAAGGAAAAAAAGTCATAAAGGGAGACAAAACTCCCTTAGCCTCCTGGCTTAGCCATACAAATCCTGGTCGCAACTGAGGTTGTAACTCAAGGACTACCAGTACAACGAAAACAGGGACAGGATTTTTATGATGAGATACATCTACAATTCATTGTCAACATCCCCCAAGAAGGTTACATGCTGGCTTGTCCACATTCACTAAAACAGAAGCTTCCCAAACTTTTTAGAGAGTTTTCTGGAGCAGTCAAATTGCATTTTTCTTTCTCTTCAAGGCTCCCAAACCTCACCTCATATTTCTAAGAACAGGGCAGTGTTTTTAACTTCCCAATTCACACTAAGCATACCTGACTTTAAACCTGTCTGAAGACTGGGCTATGCAAAAGGCAGCTAAAACAGAGCCCTGTTTTCAACAGGGTTAAAATTGGGGTGCAACACCCATTTTAAACCCTGCAGGAAGCCTTCCAGGTCTATCAGAAGCCTGTTAAAAAGAAAATCAGCAGAATGTTAATTTGCAAACTAAGTCAGGCTGTTACCTTTTTTTTTTTTTTTAATTGCATGCGGCTCCTGTCATTATCCATTCTGATTTCTGCTGCCGTCATCATTTTCTTTATGCCCGTCCACATTCTATCTGGCTAATTTTTGTGCTGATTTTTCTCAATCCACCGGTGGACTCGCCAGAAACAACAGAGGGTAAGGCGGACGGTTTGTACAAATGCACGAGGCATTAAAAAGAGAGAGAGAGAGAGAGAGACAGAAATAAACAACAAAAGCACAGATCCGACATTACGGATGAATGGCGATATTGCTAGAATTTGAGACGATTACAGAATGCCCAGCGCCCAGCCAACCCGTATTTTTTTAACTTGCTGATCTACTCTAAAACCAGGAAGGCTTTCATTTTCAAAAAGCAGGCTTAGAAAAGGAGAGAATTGGAGTGGGGTGGGCCTTTGGCATGGAAAATATATAACTGGACCTGCGGCAGAGAGAAAGGATGGATGAGAGATCCACTAAGAAATTCCAGAGCTGGGGGTTCAAATGTGAGTTTTGCTGTAATAAACTGGGTTCCCAACTGAATGGAAAAGTTCAGGAATTACCAGGAGAGCTGAGGTCAGAGAGACTTCCCTTGTTCCCCTAAAAATATGACCTACCCTGAAAGTAAGTCCCAGCTGCCGCTCAAATTACTTTTCGCCTCTGGTATGTTTAAAGATTAAAAATGAGCAGAATTGTGCTATTTGGGGGCTGGAATAATTTTTGTCCTTTTTCTACCGTTTTCCCAAAAATACGACCTACCCTGAAAGTAAGCTTTTTGGTGGCAAAAAAATTATAAGACAGGGTCTTATTTTTGAAGAAATATGGTAGTGACTGTTCAGTGATAGCGGCAATGAAAAAATGGCTTACAACCTCATACCTTATGACCATTACAGCCTCCCCATGTCACATGATCGAAATCTGGGTGGGTGGGTGGTAGCCGGCACGGTACTATGACGATTGCACTGTCCCAGGGTCACGTAATTACCGTTTGCCACTTTCCCAGATGGCTTCCGGCAAGCAAAAGACCATGGGAGAAGGCAGATTTGCTTAATGACCCCATGATTCACTTAACAACTGTGCCAAAAACGGCCCCAAAAGGTCACAGGGCACGAGCCACTTAAGAACTGCCTTGGCTTAGCAACAGAAATGGGCTCAATTGTGGTTGTAAGTTGAGGACTATCCATAGTTGAAGAACTGGATATTCTTGTCCAAGGCTACCAGCCTTTGAGGGAGAGTGTGATGACCCAGGGTGGCATACAAAACAAACACAATCACAGAAAACAGATGAAGCCCCTTTTATTCTTTCACTTTGCTTCCAAGCTCTGAATACCTTTGACGGAAGACCAAAAAAACTCCCACACAAACAGTTACAAGAAGGAGGAAAAAAGCAACACAAACCAGGCGAGATAAGGGCTGGAGCCTGAGGATGTCCACAGATAACAGAACACACACTGGGAAGGATGCCAAACTCAGAGAGGAACCATAAACTAGAGATATTTCCATGCTTTGTTTCCAGCGTTCGCCCATACGCAGTTCCGTCCTCTTGTTCAGTTGTCACAGCTGCAGCCCATGAAGAGGATCAAGGCCCTCTCCTCCCGAGTAGACCACGTCTCTCCCTTATCCTCTCCTCCCTGCGTGCCCTAGGATGAAGAGGGGATGGGCCTGGGTCCTCCTCTGACTGCCCAGCCGGCCTCTGCCCTTCCCCAGCCTCCTCCACAACCTCCGGAGCCACACTTTTACTCCCTGTCGGCTGTTCCTCGTCAGTCTCCACTAGGGGCATGACAGAGACCTTCACCACCGTGTGGGCCCCCGTGCCATTTTTTTAACCCTGTTCTTTTGACTGGTATATGATCTTTTCACACAAGAGAAAGTTTGGCACCAATGAGAATTACTATTGTATGTTGTGTTGTTGTTGTTGCTTTGTCTTCCTTCTCACTCTGCAAAAACTCGATAAAGCCGCTGAACTAACAGCCCCAATTTAACCTGGGTTCTCCTGCAATTATACAACTATTTGGATAATTGTAGCTTCAGTAAGCAAATTTGACTTTGTGTGTGTGTGTGTGTATTTGTGTGCGTGGTGCGAGAGTCACAACCTGCAAAAGAAAACTGCTTTTGTGCCTGGATCTTAAGTCAGGAGCCGATCTTGTTCAGAAAATATTGAAATGTAAAAAAAGGATGTATATTTTGCAAAAAGAAGACCTTTCAATGTTGCCGTGACTTGAACTCGTTTCCTCTTATTCTGGCAGGTTCTCAATGGGGGGGGGGACTCCGGGGAAAGGAGGAGGATGAGAAATCTTTTTGAAATACAAGTATTTCTCAACTTACGACCAAACTGAGCCCAACATTTTTGTTGTTTTAAGTGAGATATTCGTTAAATGATTTTTGCCCCATTTTGCAACTTTTCTTGCCACCGTTGCTAAGTGAATCATTGCAATCATGAAGCTAGTAACGTGGTTGTTAAGTAAATCTGGCTTCCCCACTGACTTTGCTCGTCGGATGCCCGCAAAAGGGGTTCACAGTGAGACGCAGCGACGGTCATAAGTATGAACCGGTTGGCAAGCGTCAGAATTGTGCTCCCGCGACCATGGGGACGCTACGAAAGTGGTAAGTGTGAAAAAAAACGGTTCTAACTCGCTTTTTTCAATGCCACTGTAACTTTGGAAAAGTCACTAAATGAACTGTTGTAATTCGAGGACCACCTGTAGTAGAAAAATAGTTAAGGAAGAAGTAAAACAGTGCTAACTTGCTTCCTGCAGGGGACTTAAAACTCTCTTTGATTGATCAAATTTCTGGCTTAAGTCGTCAGTCACGTTTTTGCAGTGCCACTGTAATTTTGGAAAAGTTGTTAAAATGAATGGTTGTAAATCAAGGACTACCTGAATGGCCCTCCTTTCCTTGCCCACTTTCCAGTTGTCATACACCTTCCTTCGTCCATGAAGATTATAAAAGGCCTCCCCGGGAAATTCACAGCCATCCAGCTTCACCTTCACTGGGGCGGTACGGAGAAAGAGAACAGCGGATCCGAACACACGATCGACGGGTTGCGATATATGGCCGAGGTAGATCACTGTTTGTTTCCACTTGGGGAATAAGAGGAGGAGGGGGAAAAGAGAGGGAGGGGCATCATAAATCTTAACGCAAATATTTAAGTTTATTTTTGTTTTAAAAAAATGTTTTTTTTAATATACAAAAAATCCATTCCATTTCAACGTACATTGATTAGATATATATTTCAAATTACTTATCCATTATTAATAATATTCTTCTTATTCATCTTAACAATAATCTCACTCCCACATACATAGTGTAAGTACAATCTATTATATCTATTGCATTAATTCCTCTTATTACTTTATAGATACGTCTAATAATCCCTTTTAGTTTGTTCTATTTTCTATCCATTGGTAAAACAAATCCCATACCATGTAATATTCAGATTCTTCTTTTTCTTTAATTTCTAGTGTCAATCTATTCATTTCTGCACGTTCAAATATTTTTTTTCAATTATTTTTCCCTCTGTTGGTATCTTATCACTCTTCCAGTTTTGGGCAAATACAATTCTAGCCGCTGTTAAAACATGTATAATTAAATAAGTTTTTCTTTACTATAGCCTTCTGGTATACTACTCCTAGTAAAAATATTTCTGGCTTCAAATCTATGTGGTGTTTGATCATTTTCTCCAACCATGTACGTATCTTAGTCCGATACCTTTTAGCTTCTGTGCAAGTCCCACCACATATGATAATATGTTCCTGGTATTTGATGGCATTTCCAGCATTTAATTGATTTATCTTTAAACATTTTCGCTAATTTTGCTGGCGCTAGATGTCATCTATAAAACATCTTGTACAAATTTTCTTTATATGCTGTCGATGTTATCAGTTTATAATTCCTATCCCACAGTTTCTGCCACTTATCTAATTCTATAGCATATCCAAAAAAAATTTGCCCAAGCTATCATCATTTCTTTAACTTGTTCCTAAGTTTACTTTACTGTCATTGCCCCTCGTACAACGAAATTCATGAATTAGTGAATATGGTCCCTAAATGAACTGTTGTAAGTCGAGGTACAAGGACTATTTGCATTACAGCAGTCCTTGATTTATTTGTTAAACTATTTGTTTAATGACTGTTCGAAGTTTGCAAGGGCACTACAAAAATCAGGTCTTCACACTTATGACCACCATGTGGGCCCCCATGCCACTTTTTCACCCATTTTTTTTTCCCCGCAGCTCCACATTGTCCATTACAATTCAGAAGCTTACCCTAGTCTTGACGCAGCGAAGAATAAACCCGACGGGCTGGCTGTTTTGGCTTTTCTTTTTGTGGTAAGTACAACCATTTATGCCATGAGAGTTTAAGATGCCCACCGACGTTGGGTGGCACAGAGCCAGATCTGCTAAAAACCCTTCACAAAATGTTTTATCATTGGCATCTAGCACCATCGTGATTGGCCAAGATATATCCAAATTTGAGTCCAATATGTTGGAAGTGTAAACTAACAGCTGGTACCTTCTTTCATATGTGGTGGTTATGCCCAAGGCCAAAAAATTCTGGAATAAAATTAAAATTATCCTTTCTTAGTGAGCCCCTAGAAACCAAGAGGAACATACAGGCCAAATGTCAAGTTTGTAGACTTTACAGTTCTGGAGATTTTGTGTTGATGCATGAGTGGTATATATAGATGGCGTTGGTTGGAATACATTAATTCACTTTACAACACAATGCCATCGCACACTTTAATTTTTTGGTTGGAAAAGGTGGGCAGTATATGCTTAACTTTTTTTTAAAAGAAAAAAAATATCCTGGCATTGCAAGCAAATAGCTTCCTTTGGAAGGGACATTAAATAAATGGCTTTGTTAGGGCATCCTTCTGATTTTCAAATTAAAAGCAAGGCTTGTCATTTTCATGCAAACAACCCTGGACAATTGGGAGCCCAAAAGTCAATTTCCCAGAGAATGTCTCCCCTTGCTTGCCCTCTTCCCAACATCTGTCTGACATCTGCTTAACAAAAGGATCTCTCCAATACGGAAGGCTAAGAATTACTGTTTTGGACCCCTTGCAGCTACTTCAGGTAGCATCCAAATTGTTGTTGTGCAGTTTGAAAAAAAATTGCAAACTGGGAATTCAGCTTAATTTTCCAGCTGTTTACCTCTGTCTCAGAAAAATGGGCTTCACACACACACGTACACATTTCTTCCAGGTCCCCAAATATGATAAATTATAATTATATTCACATCACAGCTTGTTTTAAGTGCGGCTCATAGACAGGTTTGCTCAACCCTAAATCGTGGTTTTTAAGAGTGAGCAGCTGGGTTGCAACCTCCCGCCAAGCCACAGTTGAACAAACCACCTTGTGGCTTTGATTCAGATTAACAGAGTTGGAAGGGACCTTGTAGGTCATCTAGTCCAACCCTCCCCCCCCCAAAGCAGGAGACCCTACACCATTTACAATCAGGGATTGTTATAAAGCTGTTTGTTTGTTTTTTAAATGCTTTAAAATTAAGAAGTGTCATTGTAGCACTTCATCCCACCTTTTAATGGCTGCCATATGATCAAATTTAGGGTTTAAAATGAACATTTTAAATTGAAAATAAAATCTTCTTGGGGATTTTAAAGTGGGGAGATGATTATTCTTCGGTTAACAGCCCTGAACCTAACACTAGAGGGCAGCAAAGCATAGGGAAATAAAAGACTGGACATATTTTTAATTTTCGAACATTTAAATTAAAAAGGAGAAGAAGGGAGAAAAGTGATATATATGTGTGCTTCTCCTTTGAGTGTAATTCAATCCTGATGGCCGTTATTTCTGGGATGTCCCACTTGCAAAGACTCACCTGGTGGTCTCCCATCCCAAAAGCAAAACTTAACCCCATTTTTTTTTTCTTCCTTCAAGAACAGCTAGGATTTTCTAACAGGTGCCATTAAGGGCGGGCATGATTTAGGCAAATCCATTTTCCTTTGTCATGGGGAGTCGGGCAATACAGACATGTCATTATTTTAATTTTGTTTGTTTTCAGGGCAGCCATTTTGAGAACGCTTACTACAGCGACTTCATTGCCAAATTGGCCAAAATTAAGTACGCAGGTAAGGCTGGACTGATGGGCTGATGCAGAAATGCAAACACTCACCTATCAGGTTCTCCTCACTGCAGTTCCCACAATTCCTTGCCATTGGCTGCGCTGCTCAAGGGCTGATGGGAGATGAAGTCCAGAGCCACTGAATTCCATCCATGCAAGATTTTTACTTGTTTTAAGTATCTAGAAAGGAAAGGAAAAATCAAATCAATCAATGCCTATTTTTGGCCAGCCAAATAGCCATTTGCCATATTGAGGCACCCGCGAAGTGGGAAAACAGACTCTGCAAAAAAAATCAGCAGGGAAGAAACACATCGCTTCATGCAGCCTGGGCTCTGTTGGGACTACAAAGCCCAGCATTCCCAATCTCCCACCTCCAAAGGGTACCAGGTTTAGAAAGCACCTTTCTCTGTTGCTTTCCTTTTCTCCCGTGTTCCCAAACATCTCCATTTAAAGGCAATTTTAAAAACATTGTGGGATGACCCGGGGCGTGGCACAAAGGCAACACAGTCAGATAATCAATAAGAGTCCCTTTATTATCTCCAACTTTGCCCTTAATCCCCAGGTTACCTTTGGGCTGGAGAAAAAAAACTCCCAGGAACAGCCTTTGACTGCAGGAAATTAAGTCCAAAACATGATCAACACAAACTGTAACTTAAAGTCCAAACAAGCTAAACTGAAGCAATTAGTTTAGCAGGGCAGGAGCAAGAACTTCAGACTTGAAGGCAGGGCAAAACTCACACAGTTGGGAAGATGCCAGGTACACAGATAAGCCACGACTATACAAGATAAATTCACATTTGCTCCCAACAGCATGCAGCTTCCTTTTTTATACACTGTATTCTGAGCTGCAGCTAATGAAGGGAATCAGGGCCCTTTCCTCCCCCATAATCCACCCAACCCACATTGCTCCCTTCTTCGTTCCTCCCTGCGTGTCCTAGGATAAAGAAGGGGTGAGCCTGGGTCTTCCTCTGAACTCCCTCTCCCTTGTTCTACCTCTTCCCTGCTCCGCTCCCTGTCAGCTGTTCGTCTTCCTCCTCGGATTCAGACTCTGACAGGAGCACGACACATTAGTCGTTTTAGATCCATCAATGCTGCTTCATCTGATTCTGGCCTACGTTGCAAGGTCGTTGTACGCAGGGGAGTGTTCTTCTCTTCCAGGGTACTCAACCACTCTCGATAGTCTGGATATCATAGCCATGTTGCCAGAAAACCTCTCCAATTTCTACCGCTATCATGGTTCGCTGACTACTCCGCCATGTACAGAGAACGTGATATGGACTGTGTTTGACACACCTATCAAGCTGTCTTACACCCAGGCAAGCAAACATTCCCTCTTTTGGTTCCTTATATACCACCCTTAATGCATTGAACTTAATCCTGGTTTAGGTTTATGCTGAACTCCATCATGGTTTGGATCTGAATACCATATCTATAGACTTATGTGTGTATATATATATATATATTCCCACTTCAAAATTTACTTCTTTGCAGATTGATCTGTTGGAAAACACCTTGTTGGACTGGAAGAACAAAACTTTGAGGAACGATTACCGTCAAATCCAGCCTCTCAACAAGAGGGTGGTCAAAGCATCCTTCTCCCCTCGGTTGTTTGAAGGTACACTGCAGGACACACACGGACACACACACGGACACACACACACACACTAAAGGGTGTCAAGTAGGATGGGCAAATCCTCTTGGATAGGACCAGCATACATTCCCAGGGCTCAGATTTTAAGATGGGAAACAGGAAGAGAATTTTAAGACTCCACCCAACTCAACCAAAGTGAGAAAACCCAGCTGGAGGATTTTTAGGGCTTTATATCGTCCCTGGATAGCCAGCCCAGGATTTTAATATAATGCTTTTTTCTGATCTCCTCCCAGGTCTGTCTCTCCGTATATGTCTATAAAAGTACAAATACAACTTATTTCTGAAGGCATGGGGTGGGCCATTAATACGATGGACAAATGGACAAAGTTTACCGAGGCGCTAAAAACTAGAACTCTCCCTTGTTTTTAGGAAGGTGTCGGCCCGAGAGCATCTCCAGTAAACTGAATAAAATACAGGCTAACCTTCGCGAGATGAAGAAATACCTTTTGGACGTCATAGGCAAACCTGGTAAGGAGCAGCTCTCTCCTTATTTGTTGACCTGAGGGCGGTTCAGACAACCTCTTCTTTCCCAACCCAGCTGGGAAATCAAGGATGCTACCTCAGCGACACCAGAAGAATTCTGGATTCTGGAAGCCAGGAGGCCAGGCTGTTTGGGTCTTGAAGGCTGTTCCTTTGTGTTGGGAGAAGGGAAGATAGTGGGAGAATTTCACAGATATTTATTTATTTAGAAATTTTATATAGCCTCCCTCCACTCACTCCCAGAAATTCTAGGCGGCTCAAGCAGTAAAAACACAAAATTCAACACACACACAAACACACACATGGTGACAGTACACAATTAAATAAGTCATTTGATGGGCTCCCTCACACTCTGGGTTGCCCAGGTCTTCTGGCACAACCATGGGTCTTCAGGGCCTTCTGAAAGAGTAAGGACCAGTCTAATTTCTGCAGGGATGATGTTCCAAAGGGAAGGAGTCACCACGGAGAAGGTCCTGGGTCTTGCCAGGTGGACCTCCTTAGGGGACGGGGCTCACAACGTTCCTTGCCTCCCTGTTCTATGGGTTGGGGGAGTGTGACCAGCCAGAGATGAGTCCTGCAGATAGGCTGGTCCCAAGGTGGCAGCTCAAGGACCACCTATGAACAAGAGGTTCTCCTGGGTTCTTCCATGGATCCAGTCAAGGGGAAACCATAAACAAAACTGGTTCCTTCCAGTTGGTTGGCCAACTCAAGGGCCCCACAAAACTGACCGGGGTCTGGTGGCTATTTTTTTTCCAGGTCACCACCAGCTGAGCTTGCAAGCCTTCCACTTCCCCTTGGAGAACACCGCCAGCTACGTGACGATCGTCCCGCTGAAGCCCATGCAACTCAAAACCTTCACCCTCTGCTTCTGGGTCCAGAACAGCAACCAGGGCCGGCAGACCGTCCTCTTTTACTCCACCCCTGAGAGCGAGAACGAGCTGGTCATCAGCGTCGGCATGGCGGTAGGGGTGTGGATCGGAGGCAAGTTCGTGCAGTTCGACCTCCACCGCCGGGCGGAAGACTGGGTCCACCACTGCGTGACTTGGGTCTCCAGCTCGGGCACCATCAACCTGTGGGTCAATGGAGCTGTGGGTACTGCCCGAAACATCCAGAAAAACTACATCGTCCAGAGCGGTGGGACGCCCATTTTGGGGAAGAGGAAGAACGCCATGTTGGATGTCTTCGCCGATGCCTTCTCTGGCTGGATGAGCCACGTCAACCTCTGGAGTTGGTTGCTGGACCAGAATGACATCCAGGAGCTCACCCTTTGCAAACACAGCCAGCAGAAAGGCGACGTCTTGGCGTGGGGAGAAACACACATGTCCCTCTTTGGCGGCGTCAGCCTAGGCCCGGACACCAGCTGTAGGTGAATCAGGGCCTTGGTTTCGAGGTCTCTGGAAGAAGAAAAAAATCCACCAGGCTTCTTTCCTTTCCCCCCAAATCTTTGCATTTGCCCGTGCTGGGACTCTTAACATCCGTGGGTATAAGAGAGGTGAACTTCAACTCCCAGAATTCCCCAGCCAGCTTTGCTTCCGGGCTTCCTTAGCTCCGGAAGCTTTGCTGGCTAGGGAATTCTGGGAGTTGAAGTCCATTCCTCTTACAGGGCGAAAAAAAAAACACCCCACTGGTGCCTAGAGTCTCTAATGCACTCCCACCCACCCCCAGGTAGGACCAAGAGACCTACTGACCCACATATGTGGTGTGAAAGACAGTCTTTTGTGCAATGTTGGGGAAATCTGGAGCTAGGTCTCAGGTCTACTCCCAAAATTGAAAGAATGGGTTGAGGGTCCATCAAAGGAAGTTGAACTCCCTCCGCCCGGACCTTTGGATTGCCCCATGTCAAGACAATGTGGGGAGGGGGTGTCAATAGTAATGGATGAACAAAAGATTGCAAACCGATCATCCAGAGAATTTGCTCCCTACCAAAAACCTGCTAATAATTTGAATTTTAAAAGCCTGCATGGCATATAAAACCTTCATTTGTGGCTTGCTGGTTGTGGGGCATCAATAAATTCTCCACCAGTTCAACCCAAGCCTTATTTTATTTCTTAAGAAATATATATATTGCACGCCATCTCCTAAATAATTCAATAATCCAATGATTCGGTATTCAGCACTGTAGTTGGAGAACACCAAACTGAATTGAAGGACATGGACAATTCTTAAATTGGAGGTTTCCCTTTTAAAAAAAAAAAATCTCAAATGTAGTTTATGCAATGGACTGTGAACCCCACACATTTGATTTATCCTTCTCAGAAGTGTAAGTATATCTCAAACAAACCCAGCTAACAACAGGATTGGAACAAACACTTTGCCTCTTTCTAAGCTTTATCCAACAACTATGTTTTATTTCGCAGCACTCAAAATAATAAAATAAAATACACCTGTTTGTGCAAAAGTATAATTCCCCCATACTTTGGGGGGAAAATACCCAGTGAAAAGAAACTAAAGGGAAAAAAACACACAAAAATCTATTTCAAGATATGTACAATATTCTCTTGGCTACTTCTCAATTTGCGGATATTTAAAAAATAATCAGGTTTGCTTTGAAAAGGGTTGATTCTGGTTGCAAGGGAAACAAACACATCAACCTGTTTTGGAAAACAAAAATAAAAACGACAAAAGAAATAGAAAACTGGCAAATTGTTCGGAGCCCAAGTTAAATTCAGTGTAGAAATATCCCCTGGGGTGGAAATTATTTTTAAGGTGGCCTCTAAATCCACTGCAGGCTTACCTTGAATGCAGGGATCTGTAGATCTGCCTCCAAAAAAAATATGCATGAGTGATATCTAGCATCCTGGTTAGATCCTGGCTAAGATGAAACCCCTTGAGAGGCTAGCTTTCTACATTTAGGAAATGTTTTCCTATCTCAAATTTTTAACCGCCTGGGACCCGGAACAAAAAGTTGAGATGGTTTTGTTAAATTTAGAAGTGGTTCTCATGAACATTGGGGCAGAAACAAACACTTTGCAAAGAGACCACTGTGGTATAGCATAAAACTTGCAAAATGCAGTTGTGTTATAATAAGACAGCCAGGGATTGGCCTGACTTGGGAAAATAAGGCTTTTAATCTAACCCATTTACAAAGCCATTTCTTTTCATTTCATCTAACTAACTAAAGGCACTTCATCTAACACATCTTCAAGACCCCTGGGTTGTGTGTGTGTGTGTCACAAAATGCACCTCTCAAATTTAGAGGGGGAGACTCTTTCCACAGTTAAATTAGGTGTTATCTAAAAACAGAAGCCCCAACATTATTAAGTGAAAATTATATACATGCTCCCACATAAGGGAGCCCAAATGCATCCCTATTCAAGAACAACAACAACAAAATACTGATAATTTTTTTCAGAGTCCACCCGATGGAAAATGCTTTTTTTTTCCCCCCGAGCATGCACCCAGATTAGCTGCATCTCTTCCAAAAACAGGATCTTATTCCACGCAAAATCTCGCTAACTCCAGGCCCAACTTGGAAGGCAACGGCCAAAAAAATGGCAAAAGTTTGGTCACCCTGTTTTCTCCTTGAAATAAGTTTTTGTCCAACAGCGAGGAGAGGAGATGCCAGAGGTGCTTAAGGTAGATTGTTCGGTGGCTTTACACGGGGAAAAATTTGACTGTTGCCAAGACCTTACAATGCGCTGCTTCTCTCTCCATCCATTTTCTTGCTGTACGGCACGGAAACGGCGGTGAAATCTTTCAATTCGTCTTTCTCGCCTGGATCTTCGGTACCGTTCCTCTTAGCCATGATCTGGTTGATCTCCATAAAGGTTTTGTTCTTGGTTTCGGGGACAATGAGAAAGACGTAGACGGCGGTGGCCAAACAGACGGCACCAAAAATGAGGAAGCAGTAGGGGCCCAGCCCTTGCTGGAGAAGGAACACGAAGATATTTGTTAAAGAGAAGATAAACGTTGCCTCGGTCAGCAGCTCTACAAATTATTATTATTATTTTTTAAATTTGGGGAGGAAAACTTTTTTTGTTGTAGTTTAGAATGGCCACTAAATGAACGTCAAGAATTACCTTTGTGGGTCATACCACCTGTGATGACCCAAAGGGGCATGGCACAAAAGCCACACAGTCACAAAAGTAGGTAAAGTCCCTTTAATACCTCCAACTTGGCCCCCAATGTCCAGTTATCATCGGCTGGAGAAAAAACTCTCCCGAGAAGAGTTTTTAAAGGGAAGAAATTCCAGCTGAACCCAAAGTACAGATAAATTATAAATGAAAACCAACACAAACTACATGTCAGCCATTAACCAGAGGAAACACACACAGTTGGGAGGACACCAGAACCCAGATAAGACTTGACAAAGATAATTCACGCTTTGCTTCCAGCAAGGTTCTGTGTGCAACATGCCCTTTTTATCCTGTTTTCCCAGCTGTGTCCAATGAAGGGAATCAGGGCCCCTTTCTCCCCCCATAACCCATGTTGCTCCCTTATCCGTTCCTCCCTGCGTGCCCTAGAATGAAGACGGGGTGGGGGCCTGGGTCTTCCTCTGAATTCCTTCTCCCTTTCTCTCCCTCTCCTCTGCTCTGCCCAGCCAGACTGTGCCCTTCCCCAGTTCCTTCCACAGCCACCAGAGCCACACTCCCACTCCCTGTCAGCTGCTCCATCTCCCCCTCGGAATCAGATTCCAACAGGGGCATAGTCAGATTTCTAACTTTTGCATCATCTTTTAACGACACCATAATCCCTTGTGGGGTGGAGTCTGGGCAACTGAATGGAGCTAGCGGAGTGTTTTTTTTACTGGCCGGATGCCCTTCCCGTTGCCAATGCGGAGTTTTGTTCGGCAGATATATTCTCATTGTGCCCAGAGAGACAAATAGCTGCCTCTAACTAGGATCGAACTCACAGCCTCGTGATGGTGAGGCGAGAACTCCACCTCTAGGCCACCGTGTCACTCCTCTCTATTTTCGCATGTTTACACGCATTAATCGGAACGCGGGGCCAACCCTGTCTTCCCCCACCCCCATTGCAAAAACTTTCAAAACTTTTTACAAAGATTTTACCTCCAAATAGGTGAAAACCAGCCCCACGGTGAAATTCGACAGCCAATGCACCGAACCTCCCACCATGAAGGCAGCCGGACGAGAAGACTGGAGAAACATTTCCATTATCATAACGCTCGGAATTGGGCCTAGAAGGGAAGAAATTGGAAATAGAGAAAGGGAGGTGAGCGTCCTTTACCCGAGAAAAGCTAATTCATCTTCATGTCCCCCCTCCATCTTATGCCTACTCCTTTCGCTGTTGAGGTTGCTTCGTGAGGACTAGATGCCTACAGTATGGTAATTATATATAATTCTATTATACATTATTAAAAGAGATCTTTAACAAGAGAAAAGCACTACAAAGAAGAGTGAATAGGACAGAACATAGAGAAAAAAATTAGAATTATGTTTTGACCGTTATAAATGCATTTCTATTTTATCTTCTTGTCTCAGGTTACATCATAATGCCCTGCTTCTATAATCACTCATAAATCACTATTTATTTATTTATTTTTGCTCCAAAAAGTCCATCAGGGATTTCCAGACAGAACTAAACGCAATTGACTTTTTTTTTTTTTTCCTAAATGAAAAGTTAAAATTTTGCCACCGTCACTGTGGGCTAGAAACATGAGGGGTTTTTAATTCGAATAAACTAAAGCTCAAGGCCACTTAACTTTATAATGTCCAGGACAATTGTGTGTTATAGAGACAATATATGTCATATTTAGTACTGAGTGGAGGGTGTGAATGCATTGAAAAGCCAACTTCGATTAGAATACAGAGTCCCAGAGTTGGAAGGGACCTTGTAGGTCATCTAGTCTAGCCCCCTGCTCTAGCAGGAGACCCTATACCATTTCAGACAAAGTCACTGTCCAGTCTCTTCTTGAAAGGAGCGAAGGAGGGAGGGCGGGATGGAGGAAAGGAGGGATCAATGGAGAGAAGCAGAGTGGGGGAGAGAGGGATAAAATGGAAGGCTGATTTGTAGGTGTCCTCTGAGCATACATCCACAAATCTACTCACTTGCGCCAATGGCGTGTCCCACGACGTAAATGATTACGCAGGCAATGCTGATGTAGGGCATCCACCAGATCGCCTGGGGGGGTGGAATTTAAATTATAAATTATAAATATATATATATATATATATTTAAAAGACATTGAGACTTTGGAAAGAGTGCAGAGAAGAGCAATGATTAGGGGACTGGAGGCTAAAACATACGAAGAATGGTTTTGTCTAGTCTGATGAAAAGAAGGTCCAGGGGTGACATGATAGCAGTCTTCCAGTATCTCAGGGGCTGCCCCAAAGAAGAGGGAGTCAAGCTACTCTCCAAAGCACCTGAAGGCCAGACAAGAAGCAATGGATGGAAACTAATCAAGGAGAGAAGCAACCTTGAAATTAAGAAGAAATTAGTACAAAGAAAGAAAGAAAGAAAGAAAGAAAGAAAGAAAGAAAGAAAGAAAGAAAGAAAGAAAGAAAGAAAGAATTTAACCCCTCCTTTCTTTTCGCTCTCTGGAAAATTAGGGAAGGTTTTTTTCGAGATGCTTCCCACACCCCTCTTCCTTCTGAGGGCTCACTTTCTCTTAGTCTTCCTCCTTTCTCCCAAGCCCACATCCCATTAAAGCAGGGGTCCCCAAACTTGGAACTTTTAAGACTTGTGGACTTCAACTCCCAGAATTCTCCAGCCAGCTGGCTTTAAGATGGGTGGACTCCAACTCCCAGAATTCCCCAGCTATGTTGGATGGAGAATTCTGGGAGTTGAAGTCCACAAGTCCTAAAGTTGCCAAGTTTGGAGACCTCTGCATTTAAAGAAAGGAAGCACGATGTGGTAGAATCTAGGCTAAAATTGTGGGGTTTTCCCCACAGATCCTCTTCCCTTCCAGCCAATCAAAAGCCTTTTTTAAAAAAAAAAATACCTTGAGATTCAGCGCAATGGTTAACATGGTACAGGCGGCACAACAGATGCCAAAACCAGCCAGAAGCAAAATCCTTCGTCCCAGGGCCTCAACGACAAATACCTGCCAAGGGGGGGGGGGGGAGAAACAAAACTTAGATTGGGAAACCGAAGACCATAAGGCACCGCCATGCTGAGAAGAGCTCCCCCACCATCCTTCCTTTGCATGCCCCCCCCCAAATCTTTCAAAAATGCAATTCGTTGGCAAGCTCTAGTTTTCCACATTTCTTTCCTAAACACCTGGGAAGAATAAGAGTTCCTAAAATCCACTTTTAATTCCCCCTTTTCTATTAGTTTGGCTAGGAAGTAAGAAGCGATTTTGCAGGGCATATCTTTCTTGCCACAGGTGCGTTAAGTGAACCCCTGCAGTGGATAAAGTCAGTAACCTCTCCCACAAAGCCAAATCAAAATAAAATCATACCGCAACGATAGTCATCAATACGTTCACAGCTCCCGTTCCCACCGTGACAAACTGAACGTGGTTTTCTTCTATTCCTGCATTCGAGTAGATCCGGTCGGCGTAATAGTACACCTGCAAATCAGGTTGAAAACAGGGTTGTAGGTTCGAGAGAGCGAATTTTGACATCCCCTGGTGTCTATGGCCTCAAGATTTCCTCGTGGTCTCCTCTCCATTAATCAAATTTGACATCCTCTGGCCTCTACAGTTTCAAGATTTCCTCGTGATCTTCCCTCCAATAATCAAATTTGACACCTCCTAGTCTCTACAGCCTCGAGATTTCCTTGTGGTCTCCCCTCCAATAATCCCCTGGCCTCTACGGCTTCAAGATTTCCTCATGGTCTCCCCTCCAATAATCAAATTTGATATCCCCTAGTCCCTACAG